ACAGAAATGAATCACATCCATTGAAAGATAAAACTATTTTATTAAACTGCGTAAATCAAATACTGTAACTACAGTTTATTAACTTTTAATTATAAGTAGTATGATTTGTTACTGTATACAACTGAAACAATGTTAACTTAAGAGGCTAGAACTGAACGATGTTACCGTATTTTTTAACTGTTTCGTCTAAACAAGTCTTTTTAGGTGAAGTATAATTTTTTCATCTCCTTGAACGGTTAAGCTACAAAAAGGTTGAAAAACCGAGTTTTTATATTACAGAATTAGAGCTTGGAGACATTAACTAATTTATAGATAAATATATGTTGTAGGATAGTAAGATATTTAGTATATGCTATATTACAACTTTGAAAACTAGTATAAAGCCCATCAAAAATGACGGGAAACCATTGTTGAATGATTAGCGAAAATTATAATTAGAATGGAATATGAAACTGATACACAACGCAGATTCCGCTGTCGTCTTTCTTGACCTACTATTTGTCTTTCATTTTCTACTCTATCAGCAAATCTTTGTCTATCAACTCTTGATCGTCTTTCTTTATCTTCTCTATTTTCGTTACGTCGTCTATTAGCTTTCAGTTCCACTCTTCTTTGTCGTGTTTCTGCTGCTTGTTCTGGTATTTCGTGTAAGAAATCGTCGTCTACATTGTGTATTAGTTTCACGCTCCATTCTAAAGTAACCAGTAAATGAGGTATACATTTCTTCTCTTCATTTGCCCGACAAAAATTGACCACTAATTTAAAAACTGCGCAGGAAATTTAAATGTTATCGTGAACAAAAGTATGTGTGCGCTCTGAAAGAGACTTAAAATAGCACTCTTTAGCCTTTTCACTGAATTCTAGGTCAGGAAATAGAAAACAATGTGGACATTCCGACACAAATTTTCAAAACGTTTATTTTTTGCTAAGTTTTAAGGCCAAGTAGGTAATATTGTTAAAATACCCCAAGAAAATTCTAAATTAACATTTATTCACCACTTAAAACTTTTTTAAACGCCCACTCTATAACATTGGTAATAGTAGGCTTATTTGTAGTCTAATTTAAGCATTAGGTATAATAGTAATACATAAACGTAACGTAAGATAAGATTTTGATTGAAGAAAATCAAAGGAAGCAAAAGAGTAAACTACTGAGAGGAGAATATGGGTATAGTAAAGAAAGTAACAAGGGCAAGAAAACAAACTATCGATATCATGACAGCAAGTATGAGGAATAATACTATACAAGTGAAGAGAAAAATAGAAAGAAAGAAATGGATAACAGATTCGATGGTAGAAAAAGTAAAGGAATGCCGGAAATTAAAGAGTCAACATCAAGACAGAACATCAGGTGTATAAAACATCGAATAACGAATTGTAAAGGAAAACAGATAACACAAAAGAGAAGGGTTGATCAGAACAATGTGAATAACTGAAAGATATGGAATGGCATGGTGTACCAGATCTTGTAAGTAAGAGAGATGATGGGCACAAGTATAGAAAGAATAAATAAATACTACTACTATCATAAATAAAGAGGGCCAACTCCTAACAGAACCAAGGATGTGAGAGATGGGTGAAAGATCATAAACAGTCAAGTATATTTCAAAAGTTCATGTAAGGAACAAGTATTTGTCGAGGTGGCTGAGAAATGTGACTAACAATGGTTGGAGAAATGTAAGTGTTTAACCCTAGGTGACAAACTGTTTTTATAAAAGGTAAATCAAAGTCAATTGCTGAACTCAAACTGTCTAGAAACTTGTTTCAAAATAAACAAAAACATTTATACGTACAGAAAGCATTTATATTTTACAAAAGAACAATTGAAAATTATAAGAAAATTCATTGTTATTTCTTTCAGGTGTTGTTCTAATTAACTGGCATATTATTCATTACTATGGAGGTAGACTGGACTTTGCAATATTTTTGCCAAATAATCTAAAAGATATCTTCTAATGACAGAATATGTTACAACAGCACCTTCATGTACCACAGTAATGCTGACCAAGTGGTAGAAAACACATGTTTAATGGCTTCAGTAAACTAGAAGATTTCAAAGTATCATGGGAGAAACGTAATTAGAGTATTTAACATAAGTAGCCATATTTACTGCATCTGAATGCAACCAATTCCAATGGCTATCCACCCTGTTATAAAAATAAAGCTGTCTTATTTGAAGATAAACTCTTCCAAAATTTATATTTGTGCCCCCTAGTCCTACTATTCTCGCCATTAAGTATGGGAAAAGATGATGTATTAAATTATCAGTTTTCTTTACAATCTTAAACACTTCAACCAGAACCACTTCAACTCTTCTTTTTTTCCTAGAGAAAACAATTTCAGAGATCTTAACCTATCCTCGTATGACAACCTTTCCATTCCAGATATCATCCTAGTAGCTCTCCTCTGAACCTTTTCGAAGAATTCAGTGTCATTTTTAAGGTAAGGCACCGAAGACTAAACGCAATTCTCGAAATGTGCTATACCCAAAGACATTATAACCTTTTTAGATTTGTGTTCAGTATTTCTGTAAATACAGCCTAGGATTTTATTTGCTCTACCACTAGGAACAGTACACTGGATGGATGTTTTAAAAGACTGGTCAATCAGAACACCAAAATTGTTTTCTTCCATAACACTGTTAAGGGTTGTCCCATCAAATTTTATACTCATAATTCAAATTGTGATAAAACACATTTATTACCTTACATTAATTATAATTAAAAGCCATCTACCGTTTATTCGCCCAACTCATCAAATAATTCAAATGCATTTATAAAGTAGAAGCATTCTTCTCACAGTCAAAAACACACAAAAAAATCAATATCATCAGAAAATTTAAATAATTTATTGACCAATCCTCTATCTAAGTGATTGATGTTAACTACAAAGAGTAAAGGCTCTAACACTGAACCCTCAGTGGCTCAGCGGTAAGTCAGCCAGGTTACGACGCTAAAAACTAGGTTTAGATAGGTGAAGTGGGCAGAGCACGTATAACTCATTGAATAGCTTTGTGCTTCACAACAACCAATCAACCTACAAAGGTAACTTTTATAATAACCATTTTAAATGGCATTTTTTCAGATGCTTTCTGAAATTCAGTACACCAAATACACACCCATACCCTTATCTACCTAAGCAGTGGCCTCTTTAAATAATGTTAAAACGTTGATACGGCAAGATTTTCTTCTAGTGAAACGATGCTGACTATACAATAAGATTTTAAGCTTTGTTAAATGACTTTGCAAAGCATCTTTTATGAGACATTCAAAAACTTCTTCCCACCGCTGATGTAAGAATAATGGGCCTATAATTAAGTGGACAATTTTTAATCACCTTTCTTGAAAACAGAAGTAACATTAGCCAACATCCAATCTTCTGGCGCCTGCCCACTGTTAAAAGACTTACAAAACATAGTAACAAGTGGCTTACATATCCAATCCTTAAACTTCTCCAAAACCCTTGGGGAAATATTATCTAGCCCAGGAGCTTTATCATGCTTTAATCTTTCCATCTCTTTTCTTAAGAAGCTCAAAATTCATGGGATCATCTTATTTTCATCTAACAACTGTTCAGGATAAGGAATAATGCTTAAATCTTCATTAGGAAAAATTGAAGAAAAATTAGAATCTAATAATCCAGCCATCTCGTAACCATTAGATATGAGACTTCCTGTATCATCCCTCAAAGCCGCCACTCCTATCCTAACATTTCACTTATCCTTAATGTATTTAAAGAATTTCTTACTGTTAATTTTTAAATTTTCATCATTCTTTTTTCCTTATAGTTTTTGATTTCGTAATTTCCGATTTGATCTTCTATAATCTTTCAAATCTCCCATCATTGCAGTCAGTTCAGACTTCTTATGATTATAATGTTGTTTTTTTAATTTTATACTGTTTGTGAGTTAAACTGGTTTTTTTACTTGCAATCACACTTTTCCTTTTACTATAATTTGTTTGTTTTGAATTTCGCGCAAAGCTACACGAGGGCTATCTGCGCTAGCAGTGTAAGACTAGATGGAAGGCAGCTAGTCATCACCACCCACCGCCAAATCTTTTACCAACGAATAGTGGGATTGACCGTCACATTATAACGCCCCCACGGCTGAAAGGGCGAGCATGTTTGGTGGAACAGGGATTTGAACCCGCAACCCGCAGATTTAAACTACAAATATACATTAAAAATTTAATCCATTCCCATCTGTGTAAGTATTTTGCATTGCTTTAAAAACTCCCTCTGGCAAAAACAATACAAATTTATATATTAAAAATGAAAACCATATTCAATAATGTTATATAAACTGTAGTTCAATACAGCAAGAGACTCATTCTTTTTTTTTTTTTTTTTTTGTATTGATCTTGGGCAAAATTGTTGCCTATGCGAAATTTGTATTAAAACTGACAAGAACAGCTAATTGCCATGTTGATTTTAATACCCCTTAGGGTGGGCGCCCTATGTGGAGGCGAACATCGCCCACCCAAAGGAGGGCCCTGAGTATGGTTACTGATGAGGAATGAAATTTGCCAAAATCGATTTAACCTAATCACACGTGGTTAATCCAAAAATAGATAGTACTCCTACTTTTATACTTTTCTTGATACATGTATATGTATATATATGAAATTAAATTGAGTGATATAATGTAATTATTTAAAATGGTTAAAAATCAAACAACATGTATAGCACAAAGTACTTGAATTCTAAGTTAGTACATCACATCACTGAATAAATGCCGATAATGCCAGATTTTTTTAACTATGAAATTTTACTGCCAAGTATTTTATGGTGTAGCAGATTTAAATTTTAAAGGTATAGATGCGATTTTTTTAAAGATAATAATAATTTTTTGTACTTATATTTAACGTCAACATTTTTAGACTAGCTGTAAGTATTGTTTATGAAACATATAAAAGCAATATATAAATCAATAGTAGTTTGTGTTTATAAATTATTAATACCTTTGTGTTCAGTTCCAACACCAGGGGTCTGTTTAGCGGGCGCTTAAAATGTCAGATCGAGAACAATTGGCACAAACCATGAAATTTTCTAAGCCAAAAGTTGCAGCACAGAATTCTGATCATTCGACTCATACGGAGGAATCAGGAGATGAAAATGTGAGCATTTTAGCTTTGGTGTTTCTATCTCATTTTAACATGCATCTGCATTTAAACACTAATGAGCGATCTTCTCGATTCACAGTTTTTCATTTTTAGTTTTAGTAAATTGTAGATTCTCAGGGTATGTTGCACTTCTAATTCTATTGTCAGTATTGAACAGTGTTACTGCTAGTAGTAGTAGTAGTACTAAGTTGAAGTAGTAAACGAGAATTTCTTATTTCTGTGCCTGTTAATTTTCTATCTTTTTTTACAGAATACTTAACCATATGTTTGATAGAAATGTGTTATTTCAACAATGAAAGATCTGTTGACATTGACAGTGGTGTGTGTACCTATTTCAAATTCCTTGGAAAATAAATATATAGGTTTACAATTTACTAAACGCAAGTTTTTATGGCAATTATGATGGGAAGAGGAGAAATTATGGATTTTCTATTCCCATGGAGAGTACCTATTTGCACTGCTAACAGTGGCATTTTTTCTCACTTTGGCTATATACAAAATGATCAGTTCTTGTGAGATTCAGAATTTAATTAAATTTCATACAATAATGTCTTGTTCTATGAATTTTCTGTTGAATGTTAAGATTTTCATTGCGTATGTGGAGGGTGGGGAGTGGACAACTACGTCAAAAATGAAAAATTTATCTGTTATTTCTCTGTTCCTTAATCTTGATTAAATATTTATTTCATTAGATTTTTTTTTCTATACTTGTATAAGTAGAAACAAGTTTTGATACCATTTTAAAATTCTAAATGCTTAAATATGGAAAACATTTTCATTATCAAGAATTGAAAAAAAAATCTTGTTGCTTGTGGGTTGTGGTAAAAAATTCATAGAAAGTAATTTTGAGGGGGCCCCTGACCATATTTTTAAAATTTACTACAAAATGTGTTAATACTCCTCTGCTAGTCAAGATATGGGAATATACCTTTGGTTAATATTTTCAAAAATATTTTGGTGAAGTTTGTATGGCAACTATACATAGATTGGTCAGAAATTTGATTACCTCAGACATGGACTTGAACAGATTTGGATATGCAGAGATAGGGATAATGGAGGTATTTTTCAAATATAATGATGTTTTGTACAGTTCTTTTTTCATTTAAGACATTAGAATCTTCCTAATACTATGCTCAAATGACCAAAAACTGGATGAAAAAGTATGAAACTTCAGAATTACATTCTACAGATTATCTAGCTTCTGAAATTGAGATATATTGTTTTTATATGTGATTATATGATTTTGTAGCTTTAAAATTTTGAAACAATTTCATTGTGATTTATTTAAGAAAAAAAATGCTTGCTTTTGTTTTAGATTTTACTTGCTTATTTTTATGGTTTCCTACATTCTTTTAAAACTTTCCTATAAAGAAAATTATTTTAAACAACTATACATTTTATTTGTTTTTATTTGAAAAACAATGGATGTAGTTTCCCTGTATATACTATCACTGGCATACAGTAAAAATAACTACCATGTCTGAATAAGTAAACCACCTTTTTTAAAATTGTTAATAAGAAGGTTTAATATACATAATAGATTTCAAATCCTGTTTAACATTATTTTAAATATTGTGATTAACAATTATTTTTGGTGATTTTCTCTACCTATTCAAGCAATAAGCTGGTATGGTATGTTAGAAACAATGGTGTAACACAGCAATTTTCTGGGCAAAGTAAAACTTCATATGGTTAAGTCCAAGATGATTTAACTAAGCCTATCCAATTTTGTTCCACAAAAATTTCTTATCATACTTCAACATCATAATTCATGTGAAGTACAAAGGTACAAACATTAAAGGAGGAGGGCTTTAATTGTACTGGAAGTTATTCACAAACACCTAATTTCTTCTAGCTACATAACACAGAGCTAAGCTTTTATTGCTTTGGTCCAATATATATGGGAGTCCTTGCTGAACTGAAAATCCCTTTTTGGCTTTTACAGTTGAAAAAAACTGAAAAGATTTCAAGGTGTGTTCAGATCTGACTTCTTGAAGCTGAGATATAGGCAATGAAATCACACCATGACAACTGAGGTTGTGGAATGGTGATTGGCTAAAAATTGATAAAGCTACATTTTTTAATTTTTTTGCAAAGACAAATTAGCACTTTTGATAAAAAATATAGTGAATTTTCTCCAATGAGGTACAAGTAGAGCTGGGCAATTAACTTGTTTAATAAATATAATTGATTACCTGTGAGCATTATTATTTCTAGTTATTACTGTTTTTGATTATTCCAAATATCTAGGTAGCTGAATTATCAGTTGTAGTAATAAAGACAAGGGTAAAAAAAGACAAAGAAAATTACACAAACAAGTAAAAAAAAATCTTGAAATATATATAGATGTACAAAGCAAACAAATTATAAGAAAGAATAAACACAACAGTAGGGTTTAATAGCAAGTGCTGAACAATAATGGAAAGTATTTGATGAGAAAACTATTGAATAACAGCTTAATTATTTACTCAGTTGGTTTAATGGTTTCAATAATTGGCTTGGGCTTGGCTTAGTTATTACTGATACTATTTTTCAAAATACTTTTTTCCTGTTTGGTAATTTTTCTTTGTCTTTTTTTTTTTCGATTGACTTTTTTACTCATATTCTTCAAATATTGCCATTATGACTTATTGTTTATTGATTAAATCAAAGTTTTTCAGATTAATTGATTAGTGTGATGATTTATGAAAACCAAGTGTTCAAAATTAGCAATTCCAATTATTGCTATTTATGAGCATTTCAGCTATCCAAACTTTGCGTGAATGATTGAGTTTGGCAATTCATCAATTACCTAATTCTACTAATTGTCCAGCTCTAGTAATGAATGTCACATTATGCTTAGAAAAATTTCATGAAATTTGCAAACTAATGATTTCATTGGTAGCATGCAAAAATAACCCAAAATTAAATTTTGAAATTATTAGTTTTATGTATGAAAATTAAATACCCTTTTATAGCATAAATTTCATCTCTGAAGTTTGTTCTTTTTAATTTGTGAAAAAGTTGCATGTTTATTTTATATAATTATTATTTTTATTTCAGTGGTGCTATTTGCCCTCGAGGCAGGCTGCACAGATCTGAGTATGAAGAGTTAAGCTACAGAAATATCAAATATTTTAGCCAGATGTTGAGGCAACAAATTGCTGTTTATTATAAACAGAAAAGTAATGAATAGATATTGATGTCTTTTATTTTCTTTATTGCAGTTTTCTATCCCTCAATGCAATTTATTCCATTTGTGCATCTATTTAACATTTTTGTAAAGCTGTAGATCTTTATAATTACCATATTCATTAACAGTGTTAAAAACTAAAACTTTTCTTGTTTCACCATGCATTACACAAGTAAGGAAGCTAAATACTGCCTTCCCTTGTGAGAGGTAAAGTCAAATAATCTTGTATACAACACATTGCAGGGGTTTTATATGATACACCAGGAGGAGAAGCTTCCTTTCTAAAGTCAGCCCTCTCTCTCTCTGCTAGGTGTTTGCTTATTTGAGGGTTTTATTTCTAGATGATAACTGGTGGTATGAAAAAGCTATATACCCTTAAAACTGTACAATGTTATTTCTCCAAAAGGTGTCAGCATCCTGTCTGGAGGGGGTCACCTGTTTTAACCACTATACAGAAATTTATTGTTTGTCAGACAGTCAGTAGACACTAAAATGATGTCACATAAGGGACACTTAATGTTACAATTTGTACTGTCATGACGTCAGTAAAGTGTGAGCATGCTGTTAATCACAAGAAGAATTATGCACTCTGTAGGCTACAACACAGGATGACATATGAACTTCAAAAGAAATAAAAATATTTGTTACTCTTAATTTTGTTTTATTTACTCTTAAAATAGAACACTTTTGGGGACCCTGCAAAAGTACATCTAGTACATACCTATGTTTATAGATGTATTGTGCCATATCAGTTACTAAATACTCCCCCCTGCTCCTTTAAAGAAGAAAAGCTCTAGAATTCTGTTTGTTTTGGTTATTACAAAATAAAAAGAAATGAACTTGTCACTTGTGCAGTGTAGGTAAATGTGTACAAACATACATATTGATTATTTTTCTGATGTGCTTTTAGTATCAGGATTATAACACTGTCAAATAGTTTTGAACTGATATCTGGGGTTTTACTTTTGGTTTGAGATATGATTACTAATCTTACTTATTTCAATATTAAATGTTGCTCATGGTGGTTTTTGTGGTTTGAGGACTGACTGGGATGACCTCAGTAGCCCAGATAAGATCTTCTGTCACCTTACTGATTGATGAATGTTTAATTTTATAAAAGTATGGTAAGATTATTTAAAATATTCTGTTTAGGATGAAACTTCAAGTGTTGGTAGTGCTTCAACAGCTGACAATACTTCACGCAGTGAGACACCCACTAATAGAGGACGTAGACGTGGAAGAGGAAGATGTCGATATCGGCACTGTAAGCTAGCATTCAAATGTTCAACATATGTGAAGGTAAATCTTTATTTAACTGTTATTACCTTTGTTAATTATAGTAAGTGCAAGGTAATGCAATTGGTTATTGTGATTGTATCATATGTTTAATATAGATGAGAACCAATTCTATAGCATGACTGACATACTGGTGGATAAGTCACTCACACTGTCGAAGTACCCAATTCTCTGTTACTAATTATGAAATCAATAGAATTTTAGGGCATATTTATAAACATATTGATAACAAGCCAAAAGACAATTTTCTCTATACCATTCATTAAATAGGCCCCACTGGAGTACTGTGTACAATTTTGGTTATCTTGTGTAAAACAGGAGACTATAGGAAAAGGTTTAGAGGAGGGCTACTAGGTTGAAGAATTATCTTACAGGGATAATTAAAGGTCTGTTTTCTTTTCAGAAAAGAAGAGCAGGAGGTTATTGAAGGTTATAGGGGGATTCAGTAAAGGTGTTTGATTTTTTTTTGTGCTATATTTTGAAGATAATAGGACAAGAAGACACAAGCTAAAGATTTGGAAAAAACAGACTAGTTAACAATTTTATTTCTTAAACAGGATGATTGACTTATGAAAGTAGTTACCAACAGTAGTTGTAGAGGCCAGCACTTTACAAGTTTAAGAGGTTAATTGATGACACATCGTAATTACAGCATTAATTAAAGAAGAATCCCATTAAGTATTTGGTTATTACAAGTTACTCTCCTATATCCCTAGGATAAGATGTAAGTTTTTATTTTCCTTTTAGTGTGGTGCCATGAATCTGTGTTTTAATCATAACTCAAATTTCAATATTAATTTTATAGATACATTGTTCAGATCAGCAACTAGATGCTATTTTACATTTGCTCAATTTTGTGAACTAGTCTTACATGTCTTTGCATTTTTGTAGTATTATAGTTTTGTAATAATTGAAAAGTTCTAAAAACCATTTTCTTTCACTTAAGTAAAAAAACTTTAATACTTGCTATTATCACATGCAAGTGACAAAAACACTTTGTAAAAATGTAATCACAGTTCACTAAGTATTTCTAAATGTCAATCCAAACAGCATACTTATTAAGAACATAATTTATTGAAAATTTGATAGTAATAGATGACATTTAAAGTGATGAGTAGTGAACAGATAAAAACAAAGTATACATTTTTGTAAATTTTAATTTGTTTCATTTTGTTTTACCATTATTCTATGTAGAAACAGAGAGTGATTATGCAAAACTGTGATAGCCCTTTTTCTTTTTTTTCTTATTCATTTATCCAGTTGGGTAAGTGATGGTTTGGTACCAATTTCTGTTTGCCTTGGGTAGCTGTTAAAGTTAAGCTGTGTATCCATACTGTGTCTGAAGAAAATTTGCATGATGATACAGATAAAATGATTTCCATCCATATTTAAAACTTTAAATATATAATTCTTAATCACAACTTCTATGCTTAATATTGTGAGTTCTTCCTGTTGAAAATTGGATCTTAAAAAATAAATTGTGGTTATGGTAATATGTAGAAGGTGCTTGATGGGGTAGTTTTGATACATACATATATATCAAGAACTTATCAACTGTCAGTTATATATGGAATGTATGTTTCAGTGACCAGTACTGTATTCTTAGCTTCTGTTCTTGTTTTTGGAAGTTTATATGTTGAGGCACTCTGTAGTTGTCCTTAAAAAAAATAGATTGATTGCATGTGGTGAAGAAAGATTTAAGTTTTTAATATGTTTAATTATTTTTTTCATTGTCTCTGATTAGGAAGATCATAAGCAACCACTATTTGGAGTTCAGTTTAACCATCATCTCCCTGAAGGACAAGATGTTTTTGCAACTGTTGGAGGAAATAGGGTAATGAACATTTGTCCAATGATTTGTAATTTACTAGTTGTATCAAAGGGTTAGTTACAAAACTGATCTTAGCTATATAATAAGAATCGTGTAGAATCTGTATCACAGCTCTCATGTATATGGTCCATTTTGTATACCATACCTATTTCATCTTTGTTTATTTTTAAAATCATTTTTATGATTCAAGGCATGTTTTTTCCTATTTAATTATTTATCTCTACTGGGTATATCGTATAGGTTTCTACAACTCTTATAATTTAAAGTAGATGTTGATGACATCAGAAATTGAAGTCATTTAGCTGTAAAATTGTCTTTTGACGTAAAAGATCTTGTATTTGTTTATATGCAGTTTTTCCACATAATGAAATCATATTCAACTGTTAAATTTAAGTTTATCATACAGGCAAACTTTGAAGTGAAATAACACCTGTTTATTTTAACCTTATCATCACCAACATGTACCTTTCAGGTGTTGAGCGCACACTTGTATATTAAATTTAAAAATGTTAGAAAAAAAATTAATTTCACCAATTTTTTTACTTAAAAGTATTTTAAATTTATAGTTTAGCAATGTAACATTTAGTGTATATTACAAAGACAAATGAAAAAAATGCTGTTTCATTTCTGTGCAGCTTTGTGGAGTTGTGCGTGTAAACAATGCAGTAATTAATTTTGTTACTTTAGGATAAGCAGAATAAATCTGTGTTTATCATTCTTAAAAAAAAATTATCTCGCTTTAGAAAATTTGTGAACCATATCTTGTTTTAAGTCATTTTCCTTCCGTGTCAGTGGTTGTATTACTAGAACCATTCACCGCTACACTTTTATGATGTTACCGCATATCATCTAAACAATTACTAATGAAGCTCTGCTTTGGAAATAGCTAGAATCAATGGCTAAAAATGATTGGAGAGATGAAATTCCAATCTGTAAATTTCAATATAGAGTAAATAAAATGATTTTAGCAGTAATTTGGGGTTTGTTGACATATTAGCTACTCTGAACTCTCGTAGGGTGATCAAAGGATTTTAGTGCAAAGCTTACAACGCTTAAGATCATATCATAAACTTGGGAATTTTTTATAACCTCTTTTCATTCCCAATAATAATTTTATAGTTAGATTACATCTGTTTGAAAACTGTATGAATATTTTTCTATGGCAAGACATATAATGGATAGGTTTAGTTACATTTATTGTAATTACTACGTATAAATTGATATATTGCTGGCAAAAATCACAATGCAATGCCTGATAAAGGTAACAGTAATAAAGTTTAGAAAATTGAATATTTGCAGTTTTTTTCCATATTTTGTATGATTTATTGCCAAAATTGGTGATATTGTCATTCTGCACAATAAAGTATCCAAAGAAGTACTCTTTCCATATGGGGTCAGTTGATGTGACCTACTTGTAATCTCAAAGTAATCATCAGAGTTACCATACTATAACTTTTAATATGGTTTGTGTTATTACATCATAAGGTTTCCTCTCTTTTTCTTTTGGCCTCAACAACGTGAGGTGCCTCCTTGATAGCCACATTTCTGATCATTCTGGGATCAATAATCTCTGATAGCAAAGCTTCCATAAAAAAAAAATGATACAACTTGGGAAACATTTGCAATTCCCAGAAATTATCCTTTTTCTTTATTCTCTGAATGTTTATTTTGTTAGGTTTTCAAAGTCACAAAAAATCTCTACCTGTAATATGCAGCTGCCCTTGAATTTGATAGAAATATCCATGGTTTCTGATTACCATTTTCCATCTTTTTAGAAGCTTCAATTATGAAATACTCGGCACTTTTGGGATATTTTACTTCTGATATTCCATTGCCTCCAATCAGTCCATCTGACGATGTGCCAAAGAATCCATTTTCAACATCAACAAATAGGCCTGAAGGTTTGACAGTTATACCTGCAGAAGTGGTATACGCAAGAATTGAAATTTGTTCATTTTGTTTGCTATATTCAACAGCTGGTGTATTTAGGTCAATGTACAAAATACATTTTACGAGACAGGCACAAGATGTTCTCTCTCTCTCATCTTGCATACGTCGCCAAAGTATGAAGCTATCAGTCTTTTACTTCTTTCCTCATTTCATTTTGGGTTTCTGTTCTGTCCCAGTGTTTTGCTCTCAGTTTTATTCCTAATCTTCTTTGATACCTGTAATTCCATTAGAAATTCAGGTTGCTGACTATTTGGTCCATAGTCAAAGCTGTTTGCCAATAGCTTCATGGTCTTTTTCTCTCCTTGATTTTTTTGCCTCTTGGTTTTCACTGCATATTTTTTCAATATATAAGATTTCAGCAAATATATATATAATTATATGAGAGCTTATGATCATTGCTTATAGACATTTTACTGTATTTGTATTACGAGTACAAAAGTACTTTGTTTTTAATTTTATTTCCTAAAGGTCATTAGCATTTTCTTCAAAATAGAAAAGACATATAATTGGGAAAGTTATTTCTTATAAATAAAAATATGAAACAGTTACACATTTGTAATGTTCAAGTGAAACTGCCCACTGTAGTCATAGTTTATAATGTATAGATACTAAACAAGCATCTCACTGTTCTGAAATTTGACCAGATTACATGCAAAAGTCTACAAACTAATAGTGCTAAGTTTCATTTACGAGCTGGATCTGATCTAACAACGACTTTTGTTTCACATTTGCTGCCGCAAAAGTGGAAATTACTTTCGAATTCCAAACGTTCATTTATGAACAAAAGACTTCCTCCATGAAGACATCAAAGAGAATGAGCAGAAAGTCGATTAATTTCCATTATAAAATGTCTTGTTTTAACAATTCATCTTCCTAGTAAATCTTCTAGTCCCTCATTGTGAACACCAACTGAAGGAAGTTGTTCAATGTTGTAGGGTAGATCATTTGTGCTATATAGATTAATGATAAAACAATATTCTAACAATAGGTATAAGTTGTTACATTACTTCTTCATAAATACGGGACTTGAATCCTTTATTCTTACTAATACTTTAGCTATTACAGTTGAAAATATCATATGCAACTGATAATTCACTGCATTATTTTCTGATGTGTTTATGTCTACCTTTCGTTTATACTATATTAGCTTACTTTAGGTCAGAGGATAAATGATATATTGTTATATCTGAATAATTTATTGTTAAACCAGGAATAAAATATATACTACACCATTTTATGAAGCCTAGTCTAATTTATTTGATTTGCTTTTGTCCAGAGTTACTGATGAAGGTGAAATTCCCCAAAACTGGCATAACACAGTGAAATAAAAAAGTAAATCTAATTATAGACTGCGTTCCACATTTATTTTGCTGTCAAATTTTTTCAATACTTACCACTGTCCATTGTTATCATTTTTGGGTGGAGTCATGATCAGGCAGCAGCTAGAGTTGGTAAAAGGGCAAGTAGGAATAGATGAGGTTAGTTGGGCTTATTTCTGGAAATTCCATTCGTGTTGATTTCTTTTTTTTTTAATTTTATTTGGAAATTTTTATTTTATGCCATGTTTCACCAATTATGCAGGGTCTGAGTATACAGTTAAAAAAGTGCTACATTTACTGATATAAGAAATGCATAGAATATCAGGAACAAATTTGGTAAACAGAAAGAAAGTGGTGGCAAAATCAATGAGAGCTTCTTATATTGGGTTGTATGTGTTACTAAGTAAGTTTCACGTTTCACTGTAATATTTGTCAGTGACCAATTAAAATGGACAAGACTGAGTACTACACATTTTTGCAGGGGTCGTGAAGCTGTGGGTGGTGGTAAGGAGTGGCAAGTAACATTGCATGATGCGAACAGTTGGAATTCATATAAACAAACGTTATGATAGAGATAAAATATTTGGTCCATGCTATTTTTTTTATAACACCTTATTATTTATTTATTTGGTTCATTCGACAAGGAAACTGTACAATAGTTATAAATATTTCTTCAAATTGTGCGTATAATAAAATGTTTTCCCAATTATCGATTATCTATTTACTGTTATTCGACCATTTGTTCCCTGTATGATGTAATCATTTGTTTCATGTCCACAGGACTGGCTTATAATTCTCTTTCCTAGCCACTAGTCTTTTAAAATGTGCAATTTAAAACAACGTAATAACATCCAAAAAGAATGTAATGTCCTATAAATTTATTATATTTTACTGGCTTTCTAATTAAGCTATAAGTGGGTTAGAATAATTCCATTGGCTGATTGAGGTGACTCGGTGATAGCAAAGAATGAAACTATAGGCCTAATAATTTATAAAGTGTCATCAGTATGAGCTAGCCTTATAAGGAATTTAATAAATTAAGTTGTTGTTTTTTCTATTGGTTCTAAATATCTAAAAGCAAATGTCAGAGGGAATTATTATCATTTTATGAAAGACAGGTTGTGATAGGAGGGCATGACATGGGTTTGATTATCTGGTTTTTATCTCAGTAGAACAAAAATTGGAGGCTATAATTTTAGATTTGATCTTAACAATATTTATAATGTATGTGTATAATTTGTGTTAAACTTGAGAATTATATAGGGATAGATAGAATATCTAAAATGGGCAATTCAGAGCAAAGAAATAAAGGAAGTAAAAAAAAAAAGTCATTGTTTATTCACTACCAAGCATTGAATATTGATTGAAGTATTCATTTTTATGTGGTTAAGTGCTAAGTTAGCCTTGAATGTTGTTTCATTATTTTAACCTAATAAGTTAATACATAAGATACAGAAATAAATGCCTTAAGTATCTTTCAACATTTAATAATATTAAGAGTTTGATAAATAAAATTATGGTTTAATAACTTCACATGCCATTTGGGTGTGGTTTGTATTTTACAATGATGGCCCTTTAAGCAACCCTGAACTTAGAGTTTTAAAACATTTTTCAACTTTATTGCCAAAATAGTAAACATTTTTTATTTTTAGCAAAAGAACATATCGGTTTGGTTACAGTAGGGTTTAAAAATTATTTACACATTGCACAACTAGCTATGGTTTGTAGATTTGACATAACAATCCATATTTTGCTTAATGTAAGATTATTCAGAAAATATTTCATGGTGGTAATTTATTTCAACTATAAACCAGAAAGTTCATATATTTTTTTTCAATTTTTTTATGAGAGCATACTTTTGGCTAATTTGTTTTTAATGTACAGTTGTTATAGTTCTCATAATTGCTATTTCTATTACAGGTAACAATCTACGAATGCACTGAGGGTTGTAGTTTGAAGTTGCTTCAGTCATACTCAGACCCTGATGTATCCTCTTTTTGTAGTTATCTTTCTAAACCTTAAACCACACGTTACCGGTGATTCTATAAACTGTATGTAACTCATAGGACACATGGCTGTTTCAATGCAATAATCTTTATATAGCTCATAGAACACATGGCTGTTTCAATGTGATAATCTTTATATAGCTCATAGGACACATGGCTGTTTCAATGTGATAATCTTTATATAGCTCATAGGACACATGGCTGTTTCAATGTGATAATCTTTATATAGCTCATAGGACACATGGCTGTTTCAATGTGATAATCTTTATATAGCTCATAGGACACATGGCTGTTTCAATGTGATGATCTTTATATAGCTCATAGAACACGTGGCTATTTCAATGTGATAATCTTTATATAGCTCATAGAACACGTATTTTTAGAAAATCTGCAACAGACATTTATGCACAAATGTACACACACACACACACACACACATATATATATAATTTATCCTTTTTTTCTAGTTTTTCACAAAAAACATTTTTTGTGTATAGTTTGGACACACTGAATAATCACACTGAAACAGCTGTGTGTTCTATGAGTTACAATCACATTGAAATAACCACATGTTTGGAGTTATGTAAAGATTATCACACTGAAACAGCCATGTGTTCTATGAGCTATATAAAGATTATTGCATTGAAACAGCCCTAAACATAATTTTGTAATGTATAGGACTGACATTTGCTACAAATGCCCTAAATGTGTTTCAGTAGTTTTAAAACACTGAGGTAAGATGCAACTTAATGGTTTGGATAACTTTTGTCAGTCTTGCCAAGTTTTACATTACTGCTTATTTTGTCAACAGGTGTGGTTGTCACTGATGTACTCAAGATTTTATAAACCACGCTCATTCATGGTATTTACTCAAATGTTGGATGATATAATTTTCAAATATTTTTTTTTGTTGTAAATAGAAAAGTTTTCCTTTGAACATATAGGTTACCTGACTTTTAATTGTAAACTAAATTCTTAGACCTGTGCTGTTCTTCACTTCAGCATCAAAAATAATTTGTAAAAAAAGGGTTAAAATGTACGAGGTATTATTTTTGAAAAACAATTACATATGTTCAGAAAGAAAAAAAAAAAAAAGAACTTTGTCAACTGTAATTTTGGTTTAGTATTATTAGATAGTCAGTTTGTAGTTCTGTATTTGCAAGGCAGTAACTTTTGTTTTGAGGCAGTGTGGCCAATTGGTTTTGCACTTTGGACTCCTAGTTGGATGATTGCAAGCTAGCTCAAGGCTGACTCTTGTCACATTGTGTCCTTGAACAAGACTACATCACTTGTTTCAGTCTACCCAGCTGTTAGTTGGGGGTTAACCTGCGAATGACTGGCATCTTGTCTAGGGGGAATGTATTACTTATGCTAACTGAACTGGAGTTCAACACTGGATCCTATGTACCATCTCGGCATTAGAGGGATTCAACTTAATTAACTTCTGTTTTGAAATAGTTTTTTGTTTTTTAAATGGGGTCACTGGTTTATTATGTGTGACTGCCCAGTAATTTTATTTTGTAAGAGGATCATTTAGATTACTTATAATTAGTAACTGTCTACTATTTCTCGTTAAGTTTAAATGAGGTTACAGAATTACTGGATACATGCATTTTCTACTTTTGTTTTAGATTACTCTGTAAATTTTCTGTGTTTGGATTATTATGTAGATGCAGAGGTCATGTAGTTAAGATTAGAAACATGTAAAGTTACTGTATATAGTGTTGATATAAGTTTTAAACTATATGATTGTAAGTGTAGTCTGGTTGTCTTTCATAAAATGTTGTGCAGTCAATGATTTCCTTAGCTTTGGTGTTAAGCCTGATGAAAATTACTATACTTGTGCTTGGTCTTATGATGATGTGACACGCTACCCTCTCTTGGCTGTCGGAGGAGTACGTGGGGTGATAAGGATAATAAGTCCTGTTCCCATGCAGTGTATAAAAGTAAGTTATGTGTTTTATTCTGTGATTTTAAAAGGACTTAACTATATTTTTAAATATTTTAAAAGTGGCAAAAATGTGAAACAAATAGTTAAAACATGTAACATAATATTTTGACAAGTTATTAGGTCATCATTTTATATTTTAATCATTTTCATGCTTTAGCCATTTTTAACTCATTTTGCCCCCCAGTGGCTAAGCAGTAAGCCTGAAGGCTTATAAAGCTAAAAACTGGGTTTCAATAACTGTGGTGGGCACAGCACAGAGAGATCATTGTGTAGCTTTGCGCTTAGCAACAAACAAATTATTTCATTTAATGTGATTCTTCAAATATTAAGTTAAGATCAATTTGTTTAAAATAACATAAATTTGTATATGTTATTAGATGATCAAATAAGGAAATATATTTTCCAGTGCTCCTGTTGTTGATATATTGGACTTGTTGGTATACAGCTATCTGCCTTGTATAATGTTTTTAAATGATTTTTATAAACCATTACATTCGTTCATTGTTTTCCTTAAATCAACAGTTTGAATGTTAGTGCCACCTGATAGTTATTGAAGTTCCTATTGTAGTTGTTGTTGTTGCTGTTTTTTATGTAAAAAGTACAGAAATGCGAGTCAAAACCTCCATTCTAAATGCAACATTGTTTGCACATAATTCATTTGTATTTTTAAAATAACATTTGTAAAGTCATCTCTATCACCTGTTATCTGTTACTTGGAGATAATTTATACAAACAATCTGTTTTTATTGTAATTCAAAATTAGGCATTTGATATACTGAAATAATTGATAATTTGTTCATTTACAAAGACTATTTATAGGAAGAACAAAAGTTTGCTTCAATAGCAATGGATAAAAATTGTTATTTATTTAATAAGATATATTTTTATTTATCTAGAATGTCATTGTTCAACAGAAATGAGTACTGTATTGTTAATTATGTACAGATTAAGGCTATTTGAAAAATAATTATGCTAAATAATACATAGAAAATGAAGTTGTTGGTTTTGTTTAATATGTTTTGGTGAATGTACAAGTGATACCAAAATTAATTTTGATAGAGAATACTGTTTTTTGTTGGGTTTTTTTCTGTTTACTTTTTTTCTGTTGTGGTGGAATTGAGTAATGTATGAACTTAAAGACTGTGTTAAAATAAAAGTAAAACTTGGAATCTGTTAAACTTTATTTTTTGTACAATTATAGCATTTTATTGGACATGGAAATGCAGTGAATGAACTGAGGTTTCATCCAACAGATTGTAATCTTCTGTTGTCAGTTAGCAAAGGTTGGTATTGAAATTTAAGTTGAACGTTATCTTTCATTTTATATGCGGGATATATATATCTTTTCCCATTTATTCTTTTTGTGCTCATGTTCATCAAGTGCTACATACTAGTATGAGGCATGTGAAGTCTTCAGAAATTTGAATTACTCGTGTTATCAGTTTGTATTTTCATGTTTGATATAAAGTAAATATAAAAATGTAAAGTACATTTATTCTGCTGTGTAATGTTTTTGAGAATTTATCCACATTCCTGCAAGAGTAGCTGAGTATCTATAAAACAGATGGTTGGTTGGAAATACACGTGAAAACTTATTGCATATATTCAATAAAAAGATGAACATAAGGAATGAAATTGTCAAAAAAAAAGCCAGATATTACAAGAATTGGTATGGGTATTAAAAATCTTTAGAGATGTAATTGACTGGAGAAGAAAATAGACAAAACTACACTTGAATGGAAAGTGTGATGTGCTCAGCAAGTTAGTAAAATTTGTGTTGAGCTGATTCCGTGGTCCATGATTAAAAGTGCTTTTATTATGATGAGTGGTTTACTTGATGACAGGTCTCCAACAAGGCCTATTGAAGTCTACAGTTCAGTGGTTTACTTGATGACAAATCTCCAACAAGGCTTATTGAAGTCTACAGTTCAGTGCAAATTGTGAAGACACAAGGAGTCTTCAGTTAAAATGTTTCTTTAAAAATGTCAACTTAACTATTCACAAATATGAAGGCAGCTTATATGTCTTATGAATAACACAAACATAAAGTAAAGCAGTAAGTGACAAACTCAAGCAACAAGAAGTGACATCTAGAGAGGAAAGGTAAAGAGTTGTTTTGAATACTACTAGACAAGTCAGCACTCGAACATGTTACCAACCTATTATGAAGAAAGTGACTGACTGTGTACAACATTCAACATTTTTATGTACCAGTCATGATAACACATTCAGCGTTTTAGTACTAAAAACAAAAGATACGAGTAAATAGTTAAATGTGAACTTACTCTTCCTTATTTGATCTGAAAAAACCTGTGAACATGCTTTTGTATAAATACATATTTTAACTGATTATTTTAGTCCTGTATGTATTGTCACAGACACATGATGATAATGAAGATTACTTAGTAGTGAAGGTGAAACATCATTATTCTAGTCTAATCATGACATTGATGACAGTATGTTTCTCATGTTTGTGAATCTTGGACTAATGTTGTGAGTTCAAAAAATCTGTAAACATGTTAATATATGAAAAAAAAAAAATATATATATATATATATATATATATATATATGTGTGTGTGTGTGTGTGTGTGTAGTGTACTTGTTTTCTAGTAGTTGTATTATTATGGTGGTAGTTAGAAAGAAATATCAG